TTTGTAATACATATGTTCCAGTCCAAGTTCCTCTTTAGCCTTTTTGTGGCTAAAGTGAACTAAACATCCCAAACAAAATATGTGTCTGATTTATTGGTTGTCTGGGAGAATTAATGCTACAAATGCAATAATGTCTAATTTCAATTCAAAAGGAAAAACAAACCCCAAAAGCATAGACCTCCCCATAAAAGAATTAAGGAACTGATTCATGACTTATAAAGCCAGAGGGGAGCAGCCTGCATATCTACCCTGACCTCCAGGATAGCATAGGCCAGACTATTTCTTCCCTGAGTTACTTCCTTTTGGAAAGAAGGCACATCTTTAAGAGAAACAGTCAATCTTAATTTTCAGATTACCAGTGATAGAGAACCCTGCATAGATCCATCAGATCTGTTCTTTGATGATTAGCTGTCCTCTAGTAAAAACATATGCGGCTTATTTTTGGTCTGAAGGTACCATGTTTTTATTTCCAGACATTGGATCTTGGGATGCCTTCCTCTACTAGACTAAATAAATAAATAAATAAATAATCTCAGTGTAGGTAGATGTGGACATTCATTTTTTCAGCCTTCTGAGATCTTTCTGAGCCTTTGCTCTAGTATAAGTTTTCCAGCCTTTTATTTACCCTCTTGATTCTTGTATGAGCCTTTTCCTGCTGTTCACTATCCAGCTTGCATTGTGGACGCCAGCGAATATAGCAGTTATGGCCTCATCATCACCAAACACCAGGCCGGTATTCACTATTTATCCACTATTCTCCTGTCTATTCAACCCTAAAAATGCTTCTGGAGTTCCTTGAGGAACTCCTATTTGACAGCATACTCGCTTTGGTCCCACTCTCTCTCCAGAGCCATTACACAATATACAATCAAGTTATATATTCTCTAAGTATGACCCAGGTTCTATTTTCCAAACAAATGCCATTATTTCCTAACGTGTTGCTTGCATCTGTTTTACCAGGCAATCTGGTTTGCATCACTGTTTTATCTTCTTTTTTTTTTTTTTTTTTTTTTCCTTTTTCACTTTATAATCTGTCATACTCACTCTTATCTACGTCAGTGATAACTGCATATCTTTATCCTGCTCATTGATGCTAATACTGAGTTGTTTAATTCTGAAAACTGACCCATGCAGGGTCCCACATAAAACACACTGTTTTAATAGAGATTCCAGATTTATAGTGTTACTTTCCAATTTATCGATTGATTTTTAAAACATGTAATTTATGCCACGTTAATTTTTATTATGCCGGATTCGTGATGAAAATACATAGTGACATCTATTATAATTCCATACTGAAAGCTATTTTATGGACATACACTTTATGAATTGTATTTAGGACATGAGCTCCCAAATATCTGAAGCTACTTGGTCAAGATTGATTTTACATAAATCCACTTTGAACATACTAATTGTTGATGATGCTTCAGCCACCACTGTTTTGCTTACCAGTTTCAGAGAGGCATCTGATTATTTCAGTCACTCTACTTTCACTTTATAACCAGTGCTGGCAGAAAGCTTTTATACGTATATGTACGTATTCTGTATTTTAAGGACTGCTGGAGTTCACAGCCCTATTCTTGAGGTCCAAAATTCTCCCTTTTGTCTGTAAGGCTCTTTACTGTGGTCACTTGGCCAAGGAGGGCTTTTTGCATAATTTCCATTTTCTGCGCAGAGCACAAAGCTTCAGTAATCTGGAACATCTGCACTGGCATTTAACTAACAGCATTTTGAGGGAGTGCAGTGACCAGACAGACAACCATTCCTCTGTATGTATCTCTGATGTGCACATATGTGAATGAATGGGGAGCTAAAACAGCAACGGCAGAGGCTAGAAATTAACTTAATGGGTGGAAATATGAGCACACAGCAGCCCACAGAGAGTTCAAGTACATCTTTAGCAGCCCTTCTTTCCTCAGATGTGCAACAGCAAGGGAGATAGATAGAACCAACAGGTTTGTGAATGAAATGAAGATCTTCATTTTGGTTAAATGGTTAACTTATGTTTCTCCTACCATTGATACAGAATAGTTAGACTCTGAGCTACAAACACTACTTTTGTGCCATCTCTTACCTCCAAAAAATAAGCTTTGTTCTTAGAATACCAAAGAACAAATATTCATTGCAGCCAAGAGTTTTAATAGAATTGGCTAAGGAGTTTTCTGAGCCACTGACATAGCTTTTAAATAAATCTCAGATTCCTGAAGATGTTCTGCAGAACTGGAGGGGGGGAAAATAATAAGCCAGTCTCATGCCAGTAATTATAAATGACCAACAGGAAGCCTCAGGAAACTATAATCCCCTAGAAACTTGACTTAGAAGGCCAGGGTCTTGGGAAGGTGGAAAGGAAAGATTGTAAGAGATACATGTAGAGAGAGATAAGAAGATGTACATTTCCCAGTGGTACATCTAACATCTCCCTGATGTATTTCCTCTTCTCTTCTCTTTGACTGAAAAGTGGAAAATATCCTTAGCTAATCATTTCTGGAAGAAATGGGAGACTCAGAGTTCAACATATGGAGAAACCCTTTGGTTCCAACAGTCTACTTTTCATGTGTATGTCTGAAGCTGCCAGACACATGCTTCCTTCATATCTAAAGTATTTATTTCTGACCGCTGGTCTTCCTTTTCTTTTTCTTCCCTTGAGGCTGGCTGTGGAAGGAATACTTCATTACAGAGTGTTGAGGTTTAGTTTGTCTCACATTTTTTATTTACTCTAAGCTGTTATGTATAACAGCATCTCTTATTCAACTTGCCCTGGATAATATTTACCAGATATCAAATATCACAGTTAATTTGATGTGGGACCTTAATCTTAAACCACCTGCTTTGACCTTGTTTGGGCTGAAATGTATTGGCTGAACTGTAACGGGCATTAGTCTCGGTGCAGAAGTAGATATTTTTGGAAGCCACAAGAAAAATGTCAGTTTTCAAGTTACACAATGTATAAATTTCCTGAACTTTTTTTTTTTTTTTTTTTTTTTTTTTAATGCATTTGTTCTAAGAAGATGTTATTTTTGTGCTTCATAACTGAACAACATCTGAACTTTGACATTTGAAACTTCCCAGGTGTTTACTTTATGCTGTTTTCACATTGCAAATAAGCAAGTTAAAATTATGGAAGAATAATCCATTTAATGTACTTCTGTGCACATTTAAGAGGAAAAGAGAAGACTTTATATTCAAAGGGCTACTATACACCTCCATGTTATCAATGGCGATTCATTCCAATACATTCAGACTTTGCACAGAGGGAATAAAAATAGGGGGAGATATGTTAAGAAATCAGCATAGTTCAGGAGTTTTTTTAGCTGCTGTTACCATTTGGTTGAGGTTGGCCCCACTGCTGTTCTAAGCAGACTGTGACACTTCTTGGCATGGAATTTCAGACTGGTAAATGGAAAGCTGATAGCTAATAGGTCTCACGGATCTAATCATGAATCATATATTTGGTTTTGTTCAGTAATTTCTTTCTAGCATGACTGAATAGTGGGGAAATTTAAGCATTAATAGTTCAAATCAAAAAGGATTTTGATTCCCTTTGTGTTTGCATGACAGTTTTCAATAAAAATTTCAACTATATCTACACAATCATTTGAATCCAATGGTCCATCTGTTTTACTTTTTCATCTGTAGTAGCAGTCAATATACAGGCATCAATTATCAGGCAAAATATGCCAAATACATAAACAACAATATAAGGAAAAGTTTTTTCCTATCTTTGTTTGGTTAGGAGATGAGCTTACATTTAAAAAACAACAAAACAACCAATGTACACACCTGTTATCAGTTTAAATTTATTTTTATATCACAGGGAATAAAATATTATTTTTGGCACACTGTTTTTCCTAACTATCCTGGCATTCAGGTGGTTATGCACTAAGCAGTGTTAAAGACAGACCTACTTACACTGATACCCACATATTTTTCATGTGGTTAAGATGGATTTACAGCTATAAGAATGGCAGCTGATTTCTCCTGTCATGCACAGCATTCATCCAGTATTGAATGTTTTTCATTCACTGAGAGTTCAGTGGCTGTGAATGTCACCAAACTTTTATGACCATTCTTCAGAAGCTTCATTCTCCCAACCCCTTCTTGCAAGAAATCATGCTCACCCCAGGGAATGCACAGGTTTCAATCTACTGTGTCCTCAGGGTGGTCGTTCCCCTGGGAGGTGCAGCTGGATGTGACGACACAGATGCTGGAAGCTTCTTGGGTGGTGGGAGGTGCCATGATGCTGTAGACAGTCTGAGGTTGTAGATTTTACCAGGGATAGGTTTCTTCTGTGGCAGGCTGGAACAACCACACCTTCACAAGTACAGCCTTTCATCCCAGCAGAAGATGAACTTGTTGAAAATCTGCCAGAAATTACCCATGTGAACATTATAAATAATTGGAAAAAAAGAGATGTGGAAATGACAGGCTTGTAGAAATCTGGTGTTTCCCTTCATGATTTGCAAAGCAACACTCAGAAGGCAGCTGACAACATGAAGAAGAAGAAGATCCAGGAATCAGGAACTTGAATTATGTGAAGTCCCGCAGGTGCTGGCACCAGTAAAAAGAAGGGAAATTTCATATAAATAAGGTGAAGTGGGCAGGCTTCCTTAGAACACATGTACAAAATTTCATTATCATTAAATGAGGGAGCCAAGCACAGCTTTTCATTTTCAGCTCCCTGCAAGATTGATTTGACCTGTATTTAGTGAGAAACTTCAGACTTTTGTAGCCACCTGGAGCAGGGGACAGGCAAAGGCCAAGGTATTTCCCTGTCCAGGTGGCCCTCATAAATATCTCATTGGAATTTATTTTCTTTCATTTACTTTGGCATTGCTTGGGCACTGCTTGATTAAGGGGTGGTGTGCAGAAACTGACATGCCCAGAGATAGACAGCCACATCTGCTAACCATTTGGATTAATTATTACACCTGTACCATAAAACACATGTTAATAAAAGGCTGGTGAACAGGTTCAGGTTGCAGTTTTAAAAGGGCCCAAAGAAAGCAAAATTCTAACAATATATAAGAATCCAAACTGTTTGCTGATAAGATGCTGCAGGCTCCAAACATATACAAGGAAGAGGCAATGTCAGACATGTAAATAAAACAAATCACACAAGCAAACAGAATAGGAGAGTGCATATCCTAGCAAACTATGCCTTTGTAGTCTATTGGCTAGAAGGTGAACAACAGTACACGTTCTTTCTTTCCTTCTTTCTTTGCTGTTAGATGTAAAAGGAAAAAAATCATTAATCACTCTGCAGGATACAGCACTTAAATGGGTAAAGTTGCTGAAGGGGTCTGGTTAACATCAGCCGATTTTTCATTTCCTTTCAGTGGGGACAGTGTGGTGCTCTGGAATCCCTGGAGACCAGGAGCATGAATGCAGGTATTGAATTTTCAGGAGGAGACAATTAAGACCAAGCATGTGAGATACAATCATATTTAAATTAATTCAGGTACCTCAACTGAAGACTTAAACCCCCTGCCTTCTTATTTGGGATGCATATTTGGGATGGTTTTACTGGAGTGGCATTAATCATACTAGGCTTGTTTCATTTCTGATACAACACACTGGATCTCTCTATTTATTATTTATTTAATTGAAAATGTTTATTACATTCTTTCTGCCTATGTGAAATCATTTTGATGAACAAGCTCTTCAAACAAGTCTTTACCAGGTTTTCCCAGTCCGTAATTCTGAGATTCTGAACCCAGTGCCAATTCTCTGTTGCTTGTTAGATAGCTCCTGACCAAAACTAGCTTCCATCATGATCTGCAGATGGGCTGAAAAAGAATAGATATCATAGGACAACTGTAGACCTCCTCACTTTGGATTGCATCTGTAGTTGATCTTGACATTTATGTGTTATTTTGGGGGGCTCTTTTGGCAAATTAATCATCATCACTGCGAATATCACCAAGGAAGAGGTGCATCTCACTGCTCTGATGCCCAGCACTACCAGGCAACAATGGATGGTTAATGAAATCTTTACAGAAAGAGGAAGCCAGAGAATGCACCTGTCCCTTGAGTCTTCTCAAATTATGCTTCACCAACAAAACCAATACTTCAATACATTTGTTCCTGACCTTTACAGCTAGAAGTCACATGGTATGGGAGAAGGCTGAGGTCTCAGCTCTACCACCAAACCCTGTAGAAGCCATTGGATCAGCTGGAGAGCTGCTGTATGCTTGGTGGATTGACCATAGGTTATGAACACCACTGCCAGGTGAGACTTTCCATTTACCAGTCTGTTTCTAGCCCAGGTCTTCCCTGAGATGATGGATTCACAGACAGTATGGCAGCCTGATTACGTGTAATCCTTTGCTTTTAGACATTGTTGTACTGGGGAGATAGCAAAGGTTTCTGTGTCAGATGTGCCAGCTGACCACTACCAGGCTGAGTATGATAACAAAAAATCACAAAAAACTGGCAGGTCAGGCAGGCAGAAGAAGCTTTCTGTCAAGGACTTTCAACTTCACAAGGAATCTGGGGTTTTGACATCACCTCAGTCTCAGCTTCAGACTCTGCTAAATGGGCTGCAGTCAAGGACACTTTATAAGACTTAATGAAGTCTTGGACCAGCTAAGGCAGTCTTCTGCCCTGCCACAAAGTGAAGGGTGTTCTTTCGAGGGGATTTTGCATGAATCAAAAAAAAAAAAAAAAAGTAAAATGTCTGCCTCATCTGCCCAAAAAAAGTATTTTTATGGAAACATGAGAACCTCCAAGGAGTGGGGATATGGCATATGGAATTTACTGTGATTTTAGAGGCATCCCATGGTCACTCTAAGAGTGCTATTGATATTTATCTATGTGGTTTTCTGTCTGAAGGTTACTTTTCCCTTCAACCTTAGTTGTACTCTCTACTTGCATACATTCAGTTTGTACCATTCACAATATGGAAATGCAAAGAATTTCCAAAACTAAGGTTATAGTTAATGCCAGGACATATGTACTAAAACCTTAACAGCAAATAACACTGCCTTTGCTCTACTAGTTTTTTTTAGTGCTCCGAGTTTTCCCAGTTAATACTAGAATATGCAAAGGTTAACCAGGGGAGGGATGGGGAAGAGAAATTATGATTTTATATATTTCCACTGTAATCTAGAAAAAAATAATGGCTTGCAGAAGAGTGATACTAATTAAATGTACCCTTCTAATAGATAAAAAAGTCCTGGGTTTGATTTTGGTTGCAAGTTCAGTTGCTGGATTGTTTTTTGTTTATTTGTTTGTTTGTTTGTTTGTTTTTAGTATCCCTTGCATTCAGTGCAGGTTAAAGATTCCTGAAGAAGGGTAACGTGCATGCACATGGCAGAATAACTATGTTACAGGTCCAAAGACACGCATATGCTTAAACTGTTTGGACTATTGGAGCTAAAATTAGCATTTCATTTTCTTTATTTTCAAACTATACTTTTGCAGTCTTCTTTGTATTACTACTATATTATGCAAGAACATTTTTGTGGTTACTCTGATCATTATAGTACCGTCTAGGTTACAGATGCCAGCTTCAGCATAGCTGTAGTATCTGAATTGCAGTGGACAGAAACTACTGGCACATCAACCGCATTCATTCTTCGGTACTGCAATAATCCCTGGAATGTATTAATTGCAAGTTATTGTTTAGATTTACTATCCAGCTCCACCTTCTGGTAAACTTGTATTAAATCTAACTTCTTGAGTTTCTTTCTACTTGCAATCACTGAAAGCGAATTCTTTGCTATGGTACTGCTCAACATATAAGAATGAATTTACTGACCTGTATTAAACATGTCAGTCACTGAATCTGTACTCCATTGTCTGTTTCAGGGATATGTGGAATAAATGCAGGACTTTTAGAGTAAGCAGTAAGGGAGATCATCTGCATACTCAAGACACTGAAGTTTCTGATTCTTGACATCTCTTAATGAATAACTCCTGGGCTCCAAGATTGTGGAATAGCTTTCTCAGACCTGTACTTCCACAAACCTTTTAATCTTAGCTGTTCCAGAACAAAAATGTGCAAATGTGGTACTTGAAGTGTCTCTTAGAGATCTCACTGCTCCCACTGCGCAAACTGTACAACTTCCATTTGTCCTTCCACAGGTTCTTAACAAAGATAAGCATGAATCATTACTCCAAGCTCTTATATATCTGTTGGTTTTTTTATGCACACTGCTGCCTGTGAATTTGAAGTTTTCTTTTGCATCCTCCCTTTTTATATTTATATATATATATATGTAGATAAAAATCTCTACTCATAAACTAAACAGGACTGTAACTCAGGCTCAAGAACTACTCAACAATCATCTGTAATGTTAACTTCTAGCATGCTCCCGGACACAGTTTCCCCAAGCCAATTAGACCCTCATGGAGAAAGCCAAGGCACTGAACTAAGGGATGGTGCAGGCTAGTGAGTATTTCCCATAGGTATTGTGAACAAAGGTAGGTATCTCACTCTCCTACACTGCCCCAAATGAACTCATTTTATTTTTTTTTAACATAGAGATAACCTATAACTACCGTTTCCTATTCCTAAGAACAGAGAATATTAGTGTAAACTGATCCACCAAGTGGCTGCGTGGAAGATACATTAGGACATGTAGCCCTGGTATACCTCTTGCACAAAATGTGACTGAAATTAAAGTTTCTTTTCCACTTACTCCCTACAAGCAGACCATCTTTCTGCTTAACTGCTACTTACAATGTGCTATGAATAGTCTCTTTCTTATGCCGTTATGAAGATATCGCATTTTCTATTAGACTGAACACTGAGAATAGTGTGTATTTTCTATATTTTCTCCTGAACCAAGTTCTTTCTGTATTTCTGCTCAAGGAGCATTTAGCTGCACTATAGATAATGAGATGTTGCCTGAGCAAGAACTTAGCATTTGTCCTCCTACTGAAGCAAAACATCTTATTGTTTCTTTCTTATTTTACCGTAGGGCATAAGATGCCTGGTCTTAAACCAGAGTCCCACAGGTCTAAGGACAAAAGGAAAACATAGATCCGCCCCTCAAAGTGATTATAAGACAAAACACACTGGGCATCTACAAATGGATGAATGAGCACACAGACACAGAGAGACAACACTGGTCAGTGCAATGGGCTGTGACCTAACCATTGTCACTGTAGGCATTACTGGAAAGAAAACAATTGGAAAGAGAACAGAGCCAAGAGGGGCATTTTATTTTGCGGAGGAATTTGCATCTCAGCACTTGGTGACACTCCAGCCAGAACAAAAACCGGAAATGTTGCAATTTTTGGTGAGAGAGGATGGAGACCCCAGTGGGGACGCTCTGCCGGCAGGCTAGCCCCTCATGGGACTTGCACAACCATCCATTTGCAGCAAACCGGCACATGCCAGCAACCACGAAAACACTTCCATCATAATTTTTCCAGCCAGCCAAGCCTGAAAGAGGCTGGTGGAGCAGTTTATGTGTATGTTTACAGGGAACTGCTCCAGGAAAGAGGGGCAAAAAAGGAGAAAGCATGGTCCCCAGGTCTGAAAATGTAGTGAGCAGTCACTATGGTATGGCATCATAGGCAGGCCAAAGTATCTTCTAGGTGAATGAGAGGTGATAGAAAATACAAGAAATGACCCCAGCCTGCTAAAAACAAAAAACAAACAAACAAAAAAACTAAAAACTCTTTGCATTTGATGCAGGAGGAACAGAAGAACCAAGGAAAGGTTGCAAATGGAAGGTAACAACCGCAGTGGAAAGCTACAAACACAAAATGCAAACTGAGAAAACTTGGACAAGAGATTTAGCTGTGCACATGGAAGGTCATGTCCCAGAAACACTGTGCAAACTATATGGTCTGGATAGGATTCATGAGTCTTTGATCTCCCAGGCTATGACCATACAGACTGTGAGTGATGAGCAGAATAGTGATCCTCAAGAACAGAGAAAGGGAGCTTTCATCAACCTGAATTTAAATTGTTGATTAGCTGTGCATAAAGAAATGCAGCTACCACAAATAAAATTTTAATTTGGAAGAGAAAAGGATTCTTCTATAGCAGTGATGTGAATTGCCAACATGGAGTATTCTGTGTGGAGACACTGGGTGGATACGTCTGGGCCTAACTAGAAGCTTGAGGGATTTTACATTGAAAGAGGTGTCAGAAAGGATCAAATTCATAAGAAAGCTTAAGTCTGATTGGGTTCTGGACACATGAAAGAAAAGTTACCTCTGAATTCAGTCATCTGTGGGATATCTTCATCCTGGAATATTAAAAATATCACAGAAGAACGGTTGGCCACCACCACCACCCTAAAATGGCTAGGACACTTCCTCTTCTCTGAAAGCTCCTCTTTCCCTTTGGTGAAAGGAGGCTGACCCCAAAACACCCTGGTAGATGATGAAAGGGAGACTGCTTGGCTCCTCAGTATTTGCTGTTGTTCGCAGTCCTTTCCTCTGAGATATCTGTCCTCTCATAAATTTCAGTCCTGAAAAGCAGTACTAAGAGGCTCTACACTCTAACATGGGTGGGCAGGCTTGCGTCAGATGTACAAATGAATCAGAAAGTCGGGCTGATAACTCATCCAGTGACAGGCAGATGTTTACCTGAGAAATCAAGGCAGTGATCACAGTTTTTTGTTTTGTTTTGTGTTTTTGTTTTGTTCCTAAGCCCCTAATCCTGTTCTTTTTTTATCAAGCAAATCAGATGTTCTCTGTGAAGGTATTGTCTATTGGTATCATTTTAACCTATGTGACTTTGGAGGTCAGTAGGAGAGCTATTTTACTCACCCAGATTTTTATTCTTGATAGCAATTCAATGTCTCATTTGTTTTTTGGCCTATAATGACAATAGTTACCACACTAAAAAAGTACTTCATCTTAATTTTTCTTGCCAGTTGACATCAAATGTCTTACACGCAATGTGGGGGCCTATTACATTTATTCATTTTTAACTCTTTTCTTCAAAGCTTAAATGGAAATTTCCACGCCTCTAATGAATAATGGGATATAAAAGTTATAACTGTGATTAAAAAAGCACAACTCATAGTCTGTCAGAGTATTTTAAATTTCTTTGTGTTTAGATACTCAGTTCAAAATTGTACGTGCTAGACCTCTTAGTGGTTAGGGAAAACAGTGGGGAGTTACTAGTCTGGAGCCAGAGGGTGTCTGATTTTCGTTGGAAGCTGGAATATCCAAAGCAGGACTTGGAGGAGCCAAAAGTCCTTCAGAATATTTTTTCTGTTTTGCAAAATAAACAAAGGAGGGCTCAAATGAAAGCAATGCTGGGACAGATTCCCATAGGAACACACAGCATATTGTAGTGGAGTCCTGGGGATCTTTTCTATTTTGATTTATATCAGCAGCATACACTCTTGATCATTTACCAGCTGCCAAGTACCAGCAGAATCTACAGGAATAATATAATTCAGTAATCTACAGGATGGCTATTCCTCAGTTACCTTGTAGTTTCCCCATCTCTCTGCCCTCATATAACTGGCCCTGTGCATGTGGGCTGGCTGATTTCTCTAGCAGGAACAATAAGGTCCAGTACAGCATCCTGCCTCCTGCCACTCTCCTCTCCTTCAACAAGCAGATTCTATCACAACCAAGCTATAGTCCATAATGAATATAGAGGGTCACCAATGCCTTGCACCACTGATAGTCTGCATATCTCATACAAGGACAATAAGTAGCAGTATGACTTGCTTGTACTGGGATATTTGTATTCACAGTTGGGGAGTGCTCTACCAATTTAACTATGCTGAAATCCTTAAATGAATACCAACATCACACTCTGATGTGTCTCTAGAAATCCTAACCATAAGCAGGGATTTGCCTGTTTCCTTCATCCCTGAAGCAGCTTCAGAGGCAGGCCTTGCCTCCAGTTCCATGTCTACCTTGACGTAATTATAAATGACCATCGTAGACCAGCAGGACAGTCAACATGCAGGAATTGTTGCTATTCAGGATATTTTGCTGGTTACAGAGCAGGTTAGGGTCAGCATCAATTCCCACACTTGCTCCCTTGATTCTCCCTCCTGCAACCCCTTCACCTGTGTGCTATAACCATAGCACACAATTAGAAACAGTCAAACAGACTTTTCATCTTGTATGGCAGCAAGACTGTTCCACACTGGAGCAACTGGATGATCTCTTAACAGCAGAGAAGACGTACTGCCACTAACTTGGAAGGTACATTGTACAATGCAATAATGTGTACTATCATGTGTGTCATTTAAGAAAAAAAAGTACATAAAGGAACATTTTTCTTTAAAATGAGAACTATTTTTTTCCACTTATGTGTTACTTCAGCTACTTTTGACAATTTTTCAGGATTAGAATATACCTTCTTTGGCTGTTTAAAGCAATACTTTAAGTAGGATGTTTGTTTGAATTCTTTCTGCCATATACTTTAGGTTAAACAATACACCAAAGTCAGTAAGTCACTTCCCACAAATGAAAACTATTTGTAGAATCACAGATATCAAATGTCAGGATAGAATCAAGGTCTTCTGTTCTCAGATCATCATTTTACCAACCCAACTAGAAAATTCCAGAAAAATTAACGCTGTAAAAGATGTCAGGAATCGTCTTCTCTGTTCCTCCTACTCAAAACATAGCAACTCCACCTAAGGCATCCTCAGCAGCCATTTTTGTCTCTGCACAGACACAGCATTGAAAGGGAATACTGCATTCAATTCTTCTAGAGCCAGTAGAATTGGAGATAGGCAATACAAGAAGCTGTGAAAAACAGTGAGCAGAAAAAGTTCTTATTCAAAAGAAAGATTTCCCATACAAAATACAGGAGATCAGAGATTCAGTCAACAAATTCATGCTATGGACAACTTGGTCTGTACAGCTGCTATGGAAAGGCAGCTCTTGGGTCACGGTTCAGTTCACCAGGTGCACCAGTACTGACATTTTGTCCCCTACCCCAATCCTTGTGTCTACCTGATCCTTTTGGAGTCTGATTCACCTAACTCAACCAGCAGTAAAGTTGGTATTACACTGCTTGAACTCCCTACAACCCCTGTGGAATCAGACCATCACAGGAGTGGGAAGATGTTTATAGTGTGGAGGAGGAAGCAGACCCCACAAACACCTTCCTCACCTGCTGTCGCTTAGGCTTAGCACAATCTACCTGCTGCTGACACTTTGGGAGAATGTACATTGCCCCTGTCACCAGAAACAAAACTCTTCCTCTGTCCTGCACCCCTCCTTGTGCTACCTCATGTAATTGTGCACCCACACAGGAACCAGGCAAATAAATAAATAGATAAAGATAACAAAGCAAAGGGGACGAGAAAAAGGGCAAGGCAGAACCTTTACTGTCAGGATGGAGCAGGGCTGGCTCACTGCCTGCTTGTAAAGGCAGTGTGGAAACTGTGCCCCAGGCTGGGACAGACTTGCTTAAAGGACGCCTGCAGCAGGGTCATGTGCACCTGTTGCACATCCCAGTGCAACCATAGTCCCTCATGGGAG